GGTCTCAACAAGTGCGGGCCAGGAGGTTATGTAGGAGTGGGTGCCTCTTCTAGGTCAGCAGAGGGATTAATTACTCCGTCAAGCACCTCCCAAGCTGAGGTGGTAGCGAGTAGATCCCCGTTACCAAAAAAGAAAGATTTTTTTTTTTGAGACAGCTAGAGCTTTTTATAGAATTTGTTGTAAAATTATAGTGGAGAAAGCAACCTAGCTATTCTGACTATAAAAAATTGTTTTCTACCTCATAAATTTTAAAAAAAATAAAGAGAAAATGTCAAAATAGAAGTAGACAAAGAAAATTATAGTTGACATCTCAAAACTTTATTATCCCAAATAGATCCTAAGTCTAGTTACAAATTGGCTATGGACAGCTAATTAATCTCGAACTCAGTCAACTCACTCATATTTCTTATAAAAAACTCACTCAAATAATTAAATTTGGAGCATAGCATAACCCTTCTTGGATTTAAAATAATGTCATACTTACAACTTCAAAAATATATTATTAACAAAAAACATACAAAAATTAGTTCAAGATTTGAGGCGCTTACTCCATTTCCTCAAAAGATTTTCGATATCCGCATCCATCCGAGTTCCTCGTCCTCCCCATACCAACATGTGAGCCAGGTCCACCATCGACGAACCATCCACTTCGTGCACCGCCCTGAAACCCATCCTTGTATAGAAACGTACCAGCTGAAAATATTTTCCAATTAGCACAGAAGGTGTTCGACGAAATTCCGACCTGAAAAAATTCCTATCACGTCTTACTCTAGAGTGGAACGCCGGAGTATCATTAATGGCAAGGAGCTCGGCCCGGCGGCAACCGCAGTCGAAGCCATGGCGAATGGCCACAGCGCCGACGAAGAGTCCGAGGCCAAAGATGGACCTTTTCATGGCGAGCGTCTCCCTCTTCATGCGTATGGAGTCGAGGTGGAGAACCTTTCCGCCAAACCATGGATGGATAAAGCCCTCAGCTTTACCGAGCTCTGTTCCGGTGAGTCCTTCGGCTGTTACGCGGAAGAATGGACCGAGGGTGTGGAGGCGGAGACAGAGGCCTTGGGACCGGGAGGAATCAATGATCTCCGGCATAGTCGGAAGAGGTAGGTTTGGTGGAGAGGAGGCGGGAGGGGAGGAGAGAGCCATGTGAAACTGCGGTGGGTACGCCATTATCAAGAGCTCCCGAACACTGATCTCTGTGAAGTTCCTAATATAACACGACCTGATTTTGGTATTTGATTTTTGGCGATTTACAAACATAACAAAAATTATTTTCTATTTACGTATTTAATAACAAAAATTTCCATATTTACATTCATTATATTCTAATATTTAAATTATATAAAAATTTATGATAATATTAACTTTTAAAAAATGAAATATAATATTTAATTTTGTTTAAATTCTGAATTCTTCTTACTTTTTTTCAAAATAGAGTTTAAATTACGTTTACTTTTAAAATTGAGAAAATTTAGGTTGGATTTTCTATAAAATTTTGGTAAGGTTGATTTAAAAATATTTGAATTTATTTTGTGATGTTTATTATATATAAATAATTAATCAAATTTTATTTTATCATCTCAAAATAATTTCAAATTTTCCAAAAATCCATTCTACTCATAATTTTGTGATAATATCTTCACCTAATTTTCTTTTCTTCATATTAAAACTTCTCCTTATCAAAAGATTCACCATATAAATCAAATCAAACATGATATGAATAAAAAAAAACTTTTAATTCTAATTCCATCCACACTAACATTCAAAATAGTGAAAATACTAAAGTAAATGATATAATAGACATTCAAATCTTAACTATTTATAAAACTAACCTCATTCTACCTCTAATTCATAAATTATCAATTAAATATTAAAATTCACAACAAAATTTAGCCTTTATTTTTCACTTTTATCAAATTTTAAACTATTTGATTATGACATGCACAAATACGCAAGTTTGATAGTTTAAAAGAATGACATGAATGTTAATATTGTCAAATGGATAAATTTGAAATATTATGCACACTCAAAATAATAAATATTGATCATCAAATAGAATACAAAGAAATATAGTGTATCCAACTCCAAAGATCTAATAGCTATATGGTACTTTGATTATAGCCCTACAAAGAAGGTTCAATGGGTTGAAAGTTTATGTTATGATAAACCCTTAAAACATATGAGATTCCTCAATCAAATTCATCCTAATTGTAGAAATTGTAGGCCATAGAGTTGATGAATATATGATTATGGTTGGACGCCTTTATAGAACCTTTTTTTGTTTATGAGATTTCACCCAAATTTTGAGATGATTAATATCTGATTTTGGTCTAAGTTGATTTACATTCATGGGAATGACAAAAAATTCAATATTTGAACAATATCTCATTTTTAGAACCAAAACCATGCCTATCTAAGGGGGAGAAGGGAGTTATAAAAAGAGAAATATCAATACACTAACTCTAGTTATTAATTCCATGACAATCATTGGAAGATCATTTTAATGAGTTTGAGTATTTCTCATAAAACTGAATAATATTGCCATTGCCCAATGTCTAATATTTCTAGTAAATCATTATCTGATACTTAAGAATGTTGGGTGTACATTGTCGCAAATGTCCAAAGTTCTCCTTTATAGTATTCGATCTCTCCTCTTATATGGACAACAGCTGAGTAGAATATCCATCATTAACTAATGTAAAATGTTCCCAGTCGAGTGTTTTTCAACACCTATTAGTGTCTGGCATTTAACAGCCAACAATGTCTTATAGATAACTTCTTAGTTGTTGATATCTCCTCTTACAAAATGAAAAACCTTATTGATTAGTAGTCGTTGCCTAGCATTTGCCAGTGACTGACACCTAGTGTTCAACAAATAAAGATATATGATGCTCATCTTCTTTGTCACCCAAACTCCTCATGCGTAAGTAGATTGACTAATATGACTACCTACCATCACCTAAAGACAACTTTGACATCTCAAAGCTCCTACTTTCACTACGCAAGTAACATTTCATAGCTCAAGTCTAGTATATTTTATTAATATATTCTCTAATTATGTGGAAGGACATCTTTATATAAAATCTAACTTATATTTATGAAATTATTTTAACATGACTAGAGCCCCCATATATCTTTTTTTTTTTTCTTATTAAAAGTATCACATAAAAAATATCATATCTAATATGAACTTCTTTTAACTTATCAATAGGTGTACATAATTTTCCATTCAAAGTAAACTCAATAAACTCTCTCTCTATTACCGCAAATACCTTAGCACGAAATGCAAATTTTGCATGCACGATAGAATTTTTATCTCCACTTATTAAAAACTTTGCAAAACAAATTTCACTTTTAAAAATATATGTAAAAATTAAATTATTATTATTATTAATGGATTCGTGAAGAGATTGTTGATTTTGTTTCTAAGTACAATTAATCAGATAAATAAATTTAGTTATTTAGTAAGTTTTCTTTTTATAAGCACTGAATGAATCCTAAATCAAGCACATCAGAATTTTAAATATGAAGCTTTCAAAAGTATTAGAATCAGCTTCAATAGCATCAAACCTGCATTGAAAATTAGCAAGCTCCTAGCGTTTGACAGTGATACCAAACAAGACTCCACAACTACTACAAGCCTTCAGTATTGGGACACTTTGAGTTGAGCAAAAACATCTCATGAATCAAGTATCTGATATATCTAAGACTTCGTTTGGGACGGTTTTTTTATTGCTTCTTAAAGCAGCTTCCTTGTACTAGAAAGCTGCTTTAAGAATCAATAAGAAAGCTGTCACAAACGAAGCCTAAGAGTCTACTTGAGATAGTTGTAGTTTTTATAAAGATGATTATACAACTGTTGTGGGAAAAGTAACTTTTTGAAAAGTTACTGTACAAAGTAGCTTCTTAGCACATGAAATATTTCTTGAAAGCAGTAAGAAAATAATAACAAACGGAAATTATGATTTTTCTGAAAGCAACATACATATAGTAAGAGAGTTTCCTCAGAAAAAGCCTAAGTTGAAATATGATAAATTTATTTCATAACACAACAGCTGAAATCACACTGATAGTATAGTTGATCTTCTTAGACTTGGTAAAGTAAATGATGAGAAAGCTGTACTCGAAAGCACCACTTCTCATTCAAGAACTTTTATTTTATCTAGTGAACGTACGCTCCTCTCGTTCGGTTTTAGATCAAAACAGTGCAATACCGAGTTTTTTTAAAAAACTCGGTACAACTCGGTACTCGATATTGCGTTGTTTTGACCTAAAACCGAACGTAGAGGAGCGTATGTTCACTGGATGTAATAAAAGTTCCTCATTCAAAGTCATACTAGCCAATGTAACCTTGGAAACAGATGAAATAAAGGCTTTGACAAATCCTTTGTTTCCGCTTGCTTTTGATTGAGACAGTTTTCATCATCTTCATTAAAACAGTGTCACTCTGAAATTGATTGATGGCACTGATTAAGGCTTCGTTTGAAAAAGCTTTCTTATTATTTTTTAAATCAGTTAAAATAATAATAAGAAATTCTTCTCAAATGAAGCATAAGTTTTGTCAAGATCAATACTAGTCGAATGAGTTTGAATTTTCTATCCATAATTCATCCATCGTTCCACTCCGCCTCTTTGTATGAAACTCAATGTAAATATCAGTATAGGCTTCATTTCAGACAATTTTCTTGCTATGTTTTAAAGCAACTTCATAAAAAAAAAAAACTTCTAATTCAAAACATCTTTGTACTAAAAATTTATTTTAGAAAGCATTTCCAAAAAAGAAAATTTAAGAGTAAGGCCGTTCCTTTCCTATAAATTCACATTTAATTTCTTGTGTCTATAATTGATGGGTTCAATTATAGTGAATGAGACATATATCAGCCTCATTATTATACCATAAAAAACCTATTTTAAAGTTGATTTATTTGTGGTTGAAAGTGAAACATTACTCATAAATCTTGTCAGATTTGATGTCAACATAAAATTTAAGCAAAATATCAATTTGCTAAAGTTACTATATGGAGAAATTACTCTGTGTGGAGATCAGATGCAGAACGTTATCACAAAACCAATCAGAATGTGCCATGTCAGTGACACTGAGCCGCGGTACCGAGCAATACCGAGCCGCGGTACCGAGCATAGGGATAACGCGGGGCATTCTGGTTGATCTCCGAACAGCATTCGGAGTCTGCACATAATAATTATTCTAATGTATGGGCTTGAGAAGAGACATCCATACATTACTCCTTGAGGGATGATTTATTGCTTAGGGGAAGGGTATACAGTACAATGAATAACCAACTCGCCTCTTGCTCAAGATATGTACGAGACCAAAATGCCTTCGAGTTGATGAACACATTGACGGAAGAATTAAGTAATAATAGAACCAAATGAGACCATTGATTCTATCTGACGGCTTGGAGACTATTGGATGGAAATATCTTCACATGTCTTGATGTGACAGGATGATCTAGGAGCTAGTTAATGGGGAACTAAATATGAACACATACAAGAATTAAAAAAATTGTTGTGAAAATAAATAACAACAGGATTTAATGTGGAAAAATTTGAAATTGAGAAAAAAAAAAACTATAGAGCCACTGAAGACCAAAAAATTAACTATGAAAATTTAGAAGAAATAATATAGATATCTCATATCTGCTCTCTCATGACCTCTTTTCACCCTTGCATCATTTTCATACAAACAAACAAAGAGAAACATACATAAACAAGTAAGGGATGCAACCCTCATGAAAAATGAAAAACAAAACTGTCTAGCCCGTCTCGCAGTGTCGCGGTGTCAAGTTTTGAGCGTCGCGACGCTCCACTTTTTGTCGCCAATATGACTGACAGTGCCACAAAGCTAGGATTTAAAGAGCCGCAACGCTCCATGGCAGCCCAAGGGTTTGGAGTGCTACAATGTGTTGTTCATTATCAGTCTCCAAGCAAATTATATCGCATAGCAGCGCTCCAATACACAGTGTTGCAGCATTGTACAACTATATGGAAAAAAATTCTAGAGCAAAGCACCCGAACCTAAGCTAGGGAAGGATTCCCAACAAGCTTGATTGTTGGAATTGAGGTCCAAGACAATAATACAACCTGATTGATTGATGCAATCAAATTACACACAAAACTAACAAGTAGGATCACCATCCTCTCTATTCTTGTTGAGGAGAATTATAAAAGCATGGATCTTGATCAAAATATCAAGATTAATCCGACCAAAACACATTTTAGGATGCATAGGACTAAAGTCCAAAAAAAAAATAGAAATCCATTTCACTGGAATTACTCCTTGCACGATGCTATGACATAAATATAAATCGAATATAAGTAAAGTACTCTCCTAAATCTATATAACTGCCATACTTCCAAGTAAATATCCATTTTAAGCAGAATATCAACAATAACATCAATAGTCTAACTTTAGAGACACTCTCCGAGGACTACAGCTCTCAGGTCTTAGCTATGCCCAATATGTACTTTTCCTAAATAAGACTAAATTATAAAAAAAAATCTAACCAAATCTACACGGAAGTATTCCATCCAATATAAGAATAATCAAAAGAGAAATTGAAAAGCAGATACAAGAAAAGAACTCTGAGCCTTGAATTTTACCAAAAAAAAGAGTTTTAGTTGAATGAAGATCAACAGCTGCATGATTATAGCAAGCAAAATATAAAGTCGAGAAGAATTTTACTGAAATTTAAAAAATAATAATAATGTTCTGCTGCAATTTACAAATCAGATATTTCAAAACAGTAAACAGATATTTTCATTGAAAGGCTTGGGCATCTCCAGCCGAACTCCAAACGACTGTAAGGCATAGCTGATTTGCTCCATTCCCACAGCAAAAAAAATCGTTAATCGGTGAGGGTGAACAGTGCAACGTCAATATTGTTATTGCACTGTTCACCTACGCGATTTTTTTGTCTCAATCGGATTTGTCGAAGAAATGCACAAAAGAAGAGAAAGACAGTTACCTTCACATAAGCGTGCAAAATAGAGTTTGAATGGAGATGAATCACGATATTTTTGAGTTTGGGATTTTAAGTTGAAGATGCAACTCAACAAGAAAGCAATTAAATGCCCTAAACTCATCACTGTGCAGCTGGAATCAGATGATATTTGTATGATTATGGTTAAATCAGACCTATCATTTATATCGTTGACTGACATATTGGGATTCCAATTAATGATTTTGTTGTCTAAAAGATGTTCAAATTTTAACCAAACTAGAAAAAAGCCATCTTGTCAGCTGAAAGAAATAAGAAATTATGGAACAGTGGGAAAACAAGTGTTCATTGATCGTCAAATATACTAATATTGTATCAACCAAAAAATATTTCTTAGATCGCTTTCGAAATTCTGATATACAGATAAGAATTCACTCTGAAAGTTATTAAGCTAAATCACTGCAGCAAGCGAAAAGATGAAAGACAGAGGCAAATCATCAACAAACACCTTTCAGGCACTAACCAAGAATCACATAGAAAAGTAAATTCTTCAAACCATAGCATAAAGATCTGGAGCAAATGAGAACCAGCGAAATCCACAGCTCCATTTCTCCTGAAGTAGCGGACACTTAGGGAGCCAATGCCAAGTTCCTCTACCCAAATTGTAGAACAAAACCTCCGGCCATGTCGTGCAGCAAACACATAAGATCCCATGGTTCCAAATACAGTATACATGCGAGTAATTATGATAGCACACAGACACAAATTTCCGGCACATCAACTCCGGCAACCTCCCAATCTCTTCCCACCGCCTCTGTTCACCCTCCACCATCTCCCACACCTTCAAACTTCTCGATATTCCATCCCTTCCCACGCCACCAACGAGAAACAGCCTCTTCCCTCCGTCGCTGCTCACCAGCCGGACGAACGCTAGTTCATGCGGCAACTCGGGAGTCACCTCCGTTTCCCACCTCCCTTCGTTTAGATTGAAACCGACGACGCGGAACGGCTCCGGGGTGATGAAATAGAGAAATTCCTTGAAAAGGACGGGATCTTGATGCGAATTGGTGAGGGCGAGCAGGGGTTCCAAAAGGGGAAAGCCTGTCCAAGAGCCAGAATCGGAGTCATATAGAAAGAAAGAGGCGGATGAGGACCTGGGGAGATAGATCTTGTAACCGTGAGGAGAAGGAGAAGGGTAGGAAATCAGGGACGCAGGACAGGACGACTGATTGGGACAGGCGATGATCTTTGAGGATAGAGTGAGGAGATTGTAGACAAGAAGAGAAGAGGAAGGTTGCGATATAGCGAAGCATAAGAGGCCGGAAGAAGATGAAAGAAGCTGGTAGGAGGAAGAAGAGGTGATGGTGATGGGAAGCTTGCGCCATGAATCGAAAGTAGAGTCGTAAAGTGGAAGAAAGCTGTGAGAAAATTGAGGGTGGGAGAGGAGGAAGTAAGCGGTCGTGCGCTGCCTACGCAAGTGGAGTTGAGAGAGGAAGGAGGGAGATAGGAGAAGGGAGTGGAAGCGCTTGCAGGTGGAGCGGAGTGAGAGAAGGGAATGGAGGGGGAGAAGGGCGAGGATGCGATCAAGGAGATGTTCTGGTAGCCGGCTCCAGATTGCCGGAGACATCTCCATGGCCGCCGTTGCTCTTGTTCTACCGGCCAACCCCATCTCGCTGAATCGTATGAGGCCGGCTCGTTCCCTATTATAAGGAGCCATGGATCAATCGTCAATGGCGGAAACAGGGGACACTGGATATTTAGCCTGGTCGACCAAGGAATGAGCAATAGAATAAGGACTCCTTTCATTATTAATAATAATTATAGTGTCAAGTTGCAATATTATTATTTAATTCATCATCTAATCCTATAAAACTCATTATTAAAAGAGAAAATATTGCAAGTAGTCGCGTACTGCTCAACCAAGCTAGAATGCCCAACTGATCAAATAATGTTTCAGCATCAACATCAACGATTCAACATTAGTAATTTTCTATTTTTTTAGGGATTTATATGCAAATCTCATTATTTATACTACTACAACAATAATAATATTAAGTATTTATCCTATTATGTGATCATTATGTTTTATTAAAAGTCAAATTCTCATTAAAATTTAATAAAAAAAATTATTTATAATACTTTCTAACAATGTCTTTTTAGGTCTAATTAATACTTTCTTAAAATAGGCTAGATCTAATATGTCGACTCTTTTAACAGGGTTATTAGAAGGCCAATGTTTTATGTGACCAAATCATTTAAGATGATTATCTCTAATCTTATCTATTACTGGAGCTACACCAACCCTTGCCCATCAGTACTTGTTTCACATTCTATCTAAAACACATTCATCCACCTAAGCATCCTCATTAATTATAAACATATTCAAATATCTAATACTTAATATTTAATATTTATTTATATAATATTTTAATATTCAATCATATCTAAAGCAAAACAGAAGAAAGAAGAAAGGAAAACAGGGAAAATGCTAGAGAAGCCTTTGTTCCTTCATTTTCAATATTCCGGCAATGCTACAGTCCAGAGTATAAAAAGAGAAGTTTGTTACAAAAGGAACGGTTGAGATTAATTGGCAGCAATCCCATGGCTAGAATTTAATCCAGTTCCTTTAATGATGTTTAGCGGACAGAGAAGTGGAGCTGTGCGCCGGCTTATCATTAGCAGTTATCTTATCATCCCCCCGCAAGCTAACGAGAGGTGGTTGAACAGTTAGCTTGGTGCGAAGATGGCTAAAACGAAGAGCAGAATGTGACTTAGTGAAAAGATCAGCTGGTTGGTCCTGAGAGGCAATATGATGAACGGTAATTTGTTGCCTTTTGATGCAGTCACGAATGAAATGACAGTCAATTTCGATATGCTTTGTACGAGCATGAAAAATAGGATTGACAGCTAGAGCAAGAGCTGACACATTGTCACAGAAGAGCTTTGTTGGAGAGGTATGAACACCAAATTCAGTGAGTAACCGTTGCAACCATATGATATCACAGGCGGCAGTAGCAATAGCCTGATATTCAGCTTCAGTCGAGGATCGAGCAACAACTGTTTGTTTCTTAACAATCCATGAAATCAAGGTTTCACCTAAGAATGCACAGTAGCTAGTAATTGATTTTCGATCAGTTGAATCGGATGCCCAATCGGAATCAGAAAAGGCAGTAAGATGCAAGGTAGACCGAAAAATGGGCAAACCATAATGTATGGTGCCTTTAATATATCTGAGAAGCCGTTTAAGTAGTTGAAAATGGAAAAGCTGAGGATGATGCATATGCTGACATAAAACATTAACAGCAAACATAATATCGGGGCGGCTTAACGTCAGATAGTGTAGAGAACCAACCAGAGTCCGGTATAGCTCCGGATGAGAGTAGGGAACCGAATTTTCAGGTGAAACCGAGAGTTTAAGGGGTAGAGGCGTGTTTACTGGTCGGGCTTCAGACATACCGGCTCTGTTGAGTAGATTTGCAGCATATTTGGACTGATTTAGATGAATACCATTTGGTTGTTGAGTGACCTGCAAGCCAAGGAAATAGGATACCGGACCGAGATTCTTCATATTAAATCTGTTATGCAGGTCAGCCAAAAGCTTTGCAATAGAAGAATGATTTGATCCCGTGAGTAAGATGTCATCAACATAGACGAGAATATACATATGAACATCAGCATGATGATAGACAAGAAGTGATGGATCAGCCGTGCTGTTCGAAAATCCAAATGTCAACAAAAATGATGAAAGAGTAGCAAACCACTGACGGGGAGCTTGCTTAAGTCCATACAAAGCTTTCTTGAGTAGACAGACATGATCTTTCTTCTCGGGATCTACAAATCCTTTTGGTTGTGACATATAAACAATTTCATCTAATTGTCCATGTAAAAAAGCATTGGAAATATCCAATTGTAAAACAGTCCAATTATAGGTAACTGCAAGTGTTAGAAGAACACGAATTGTTGGAAATTTGGCAACTGGACTAAAAGTATCATGAAAATCTAGACCATATATTCTTGTTTAAAACCTTGAGCTACCAAGCGAGCTTTATGACGAGCAATTGTCCCATCGGAATTTAATTTGGTCTTAAATATCCACTTACAACCCAAGACATTTTGCGTCGGAGAAGGAGGTACCAAAATCCAGGTACCTTGTTTTTGTAAAGCATCAAACTCTACACTCATAGCCTGACGCCAAATTGGAAATTGAGCAGCTTGAGTGTAATTAGTGGGAGTAGGTGGTGTAACAGAGTGTTGAAGATCTAGAATTTTGGTAGGTTTGAGATTGCCCGACTTGAATCGGGTAACCATAGGATGTTTAGAAGGTATAGGTGGCTGTGTCGATGGGAGAGCTGAAGGATCATTTGGCTGTGGAGGTTCAGCTGTGGGAATGGAAGAAGAGTTTGGAGATGGGGAGGCTAAATATTCTGGGATAGGAACCAGAACAGGTGGATAGGCTGTTTTAGTGGTTGGTGAGACATTTGAAACCGGAACAAGCAGAGAAGGAGGAACATTAATTGGAGAGACAGTGGTAGTAGGTTGTGAATTAATATTTTGGAAGGGAAATTCTGATTCATGAAATGTGACATGACGAGATAAATAGATACGACCCGTAGGTATATGAAGACATTTATAACCTTTAGAATGAGAGGCATATCCAAGAAACACACAAGAAATAGTGCGAGGAGCTAGTTTATGAGAGAAGACAATGGGTAATAAAGGGTAGCAAAGACAGCCAAAAGTGCGTAAATGTGTATAAGTTGGTGGTGTATTATATAGTAATTCATAAGGAGACTTATGTTGAAGCACTGGGGTGGGTAGACGATTTATAAGATAGGTTGCGGTTTCAAGAGCATCAAACCACCACTTTGTAGGGACATTGGCATGGAAGAGAAGAGCACGAACAGTTTCAAGTAAATGACGATGTTTGCGCTCAGAAACTCCATTTTGTTGAGGAGTATAAGGACATGTGGTTTGATGTATTATCCCACACTGATGCAATGTGGATTTGAAGATATTACTCATATATTCACCTCCTCGGTCTGATCGTAGAATTTTAATTGGTTTCTGAAATTGCCTCTCAACTAAAGATTTAAAATGCAAAAACTTGGAGAACGTATCAGATTTATTACACAGAGGATAAATCCAAGTATAACGAGTAAAGTCATCCACAAACACAACATAATATTTATATGATTGAGCTGACAAAATTGGGGATGGACCCCATACATCGGTGTGTATTAATTCTAAACATTGAGTAGTCCTAATAGAAGATAAAGGAAAAGGAAGACGAGTACATTTAGCACGAGAACAAGCTGAACAGTGAGAAGTACTAAGAGAAGGTTTTCTAATATCTATTTCTTTAGAAAGAAATAACTGAATGGCCTTCGACGGGTGTCCCAAACGTTGGTGCCAGAGGGAGGAAGATATGCAACTGGCCGTGAAAGCTGAAATGTGCGATCTGTCAGTTGAGCTAATAGGGTAGAGACCTTATTGACTGGGACCTCTGAGGAGAGTCCGGTTGGTCCGGGAATCCTTTATAACATAACCATTCGAATCAAAACATACAAAGCAAGAATTATCTTTGGTTAGTTTATGAATAGAAAGAAGATTATGAGAGAGATTTGGGACATGAAATATTTTAGATAAATAGAGCTCACGAGAGGGTGTGGGGAGAAGGCCTTGACCGGTATGGGAAATAGGTAAGAGCTGACGATTTCCAACTTGAACGTTAGAGCTACCAGAGTAATGTTGAGGTTGTTGTAGTTGCGAAACATCCGACGTGAGATGATTACTAGCTCCAGAATCAAGGAACCAATCTGCTGAAACTTGATTGTCCGTTGCCAGATAAGCTTGAGGTGAGGATTGATATGTAGTATCATGTCTGTACCAGCAATTCACAGCTGATGTCCAGGTTTTGCACAAATCTGGCATTCTACATAGGAGCAAGGTGGTCGGCCACCACGATTAGAGGTATTAGGAACTCGTCCAGAACTGGAATCAGTACGACCACGACCTCGTCCAGGTCCAGTAGAGCGACCACGATTTGAGGATTGATAGGATCCGCGACCACGAAACCGACCTCTAGTTGTGGCTAAGGAAAATGCCTGATCTGTGGATGATGATGTGTAAACCGTGGCCCTGGCTGTCTCAGCTGCGATGTTAAGCTCCTCACTGCATAGGAGTGAATAAAAATCATCTAGATTTATCGGTTGCAGCTGAGTACGAAGAGCAGTTTTAAAGCCTTGATAGGTCGGCGGTAAACCATTGAGCGTGTACAGTATTATATCTTCAGTGGGTACAGACGAACCGGCAGCGGTAATTGCATCGATTTTCTGTTTGATAACAGACAAGTATTGGACCATAGTTTGATCATTCATTTGAACATGATGCATTTCGTTTTTCAGCTGTAATAAACGAGATCTATTGGATGACTGAAGTCGACGCTCAATGGTAACCCAGATCTCATGGCAGCTATCTAGGTTAAGCACATACGGTAGAAGAGATGATCCGATTGTAGAGAAGATGGCAGCAGCAAGGTTTTGATCAATTAAAAACCAGGTATGAAAAAGAGGATTGGGAGATAAGCTACCATCCAGATTTTTTACTTGTTTGGACGGTTTTGAAGCTGCGCCAGTGAGAAAATCTTCAAAACCATTAGCCGAGAAAAGTTTGTAGACTTGGGCTTTCCAAACTGGGTAGTTTTCAGTGGATAGCTGAGTATTAACTAAGGTCTTGATGGTAGACATGAAGAACTTCAGCTTGGGCGGAATGGCAGGGTCACTGTCGACAGCAACAGTGTGAAGAGTTGCAGAAGACGATGATGAAGATGAGTCCGCCATTAGAGAAAGGAAGCTATTCCGAGTGGTCTGATACCATGTGAAAACTCCTACAAAACAAGGATCAAGCAAAACAGAAGAAAGAAGAAAGGAAAACAGGGAAAATGCTAGAGAAGCCTTTGTTCCTTCATTTTCAATATTCCGGCAATGCTACAGTCCAGAGTATAAAAAGAGAAGTTTGTTACAAAAGGAACGGTTGAGATTAATTGGCAGCAATCCCATGGCTAGAATTTAATCCGGTTCCTCTAATGATGTTTAGAGGTCAGATAAGTGGAGCTGTGCGCCGGCTTATCATTTGCAGTTATCTTATCAATATGCACAAAATTATGACATATTTTAGATTCATTTTAGTTATTTATAATATTAGTTTCAACTTTCAATATTAATTATATCTAATTATTTTAACCGTACAATTTTGAATTTTCACACCTAATTATGAATGAATAGTAAAATCAAATCAGATTAGGTAATTTGAAGAAATTTGATAAAATCAACGGTTTGGGATTAGTTCAACAAGACACCAAAACATGTGGCTCCACGCAATCAAAGTCCATAGTTACGTGAGCTTAAACTTGTAATTAGGTTCCCAACCATTTTGTTTCAAGAGATGTTACTCAATTATTTCTATTCTAAAATTGTTTCTTCTTTGCATTTATTTTAGTCTTACATGTGACAAGTTTATTTACTCGTACATATTTCATACATTGTTATTTGACTAAAATATTACAATATTTTAAAAATAAAATTTTCTTTATTTATTTATAATGAAAAATAAATTAAAAAGCTGCTTTAAAAGAACCGAGAGGATATCCTATCAAGGAAGGGCAAATTATTGTGTCCGGTGTCCGGATTCGTCCGAACACCAATAAAAACGCGCCACGTCACTCAAAAATATCGGGGCCCAGTGCATCCGGGTGAGATGGCGTGTCCGGATTGGATGTCCGCATGTCAGGTGACCGGACGCAATAATTTGCCCCAAGGAAGTAAGACCAAACACTTACAGATATTCAAAATCTCATTCTATTGGAAGGCCATATATGCCTAAATAATACAACATTCTCGAAAATATAAAAATTTGCTGGAAGATTCCTTTGCTACCAGGTCCATACATATGATCATAAATTATCCCAATCCAACAATTTATAGCCTTTATTACATTAAATTGTATCAAACTAATATGTACACCATTCACCATGCTACTTATAGGATTAGACATTTATGAACTTATCAAGGGACAACATCCTTCTTCTAACAACTTAAATCTATAATAGGATCCTCTGCGTTTCACTTAGCAAATATTATAGGAAAATTAGGGATTACCGGCGGCCTTTACCGACGGTCCTATTATAAATAGAAAATAAATTGTAAAAATTCATACTTATAACTTAAATTGTCAAGATGGGTAAACCTTCCAAGAGTAATGAACAAAGCACGTGTCAAATTTTGTAGAATAAACATAGGGTTGAAGATCAAACCATTTTAAATCTATTGCGCTCTATTCGTTTGTGTGCTTCTCTCTCTTTCTCTTTCTCTAACCTACCCTGTCGAGTATCTAAATCCTTTGATTTTTATCTCCACAATTAGGGTTGTCAATATTTGACACGACACGAAAATCCGACCCGAACTCGACCCGAAAAATTCGGGTTGGACCCGAACCGATTTCAAAATGGGTCGGGTTCGGGTTCGGGTTCGGGTTCGAGTTCCTGTATTTGACCCGTTTGAAAAAACGGGTCGAGTTTGGATTGACCCGGTGGGTTGCAGAATCAACCTGAAAACCCATTAATTTTTTTTAAAAAATTGGATTCCCGCCCCCTGCCTGTGCAAGCCCTCGCGTGTCGCGTCCACCACCTTTCTCGCCGTCAGCCCGCCGACTTTCCGACGTTTCGGCACCGGCAGAACCTAAAACTGGGTCGGGTCGGGTCATGTCAACCCGGCAACCCACCGGGTCGGGTCCGAGTTCGGATTTCTGACATGTTTGTCTACCCGAGTCGGGATAGGGTCGACACGTTTGAACCCGGATCAGTTCCGGGTTCGACCCGAAATTGACACCCCTATCCACAATCAAATAATTTCTAAGATTTAATGGTCCCAAATTTATTAAATTGAATTAAAAAATAATACTGAATCCTTTTTTACTAAAATCTTAGTTGATACCAAACATCTATTTTCTTTGAGAAACATTTCTTTCATTATTTGTTTGAGATAAATTTCTTATTATTTTCCTTTTCTATCATCACAGTTTCTATTTTGGCCCATATGTTTTGACGTTTTGTCACTTTCACGAAATTTCTGTGCTTGCAAGCTACTTTTTACAATATATTTCAGAAAAGCTATTTTTTCTATAACAATTTTACGATCATCTTTACAAAAGCTTGAAACCATTCCATACAAACCCTCAATCACAATATCAACCTATATTATTTTTGTTTTATTTCTAAATAAATTTAAAAAATAAAACCAAAATAAAAATTAATATCTCCATTCTATGATTACATAGCATTGCCTTCAATTGATTCGAGATCTATTCGGCTCCGCACCTAAAATTCTTCTTTATTTAAATATCGAAATAATAATAATAACAATAATAATAGTATTAATTAATTAATCCTTCACCTTTTTGTGAATGTCTCATTGGAGCAGCTCCACAACTCCCTATACCGTGCATGCAAGTCCAGTTTGAAGAGAGAGTTAGAAACTTCCAAATAACAATGAATTTGATCATTATAGATTTTTTTATACTTTTCAACAAAGGAGAGCTTTGAACGCAGTTCATCTTCATCTGTTGGTTGAAAAGTGATGCAGAGCGAATAGTATCTCTCTTCTTGTATCCATTTTCTAGAATGTTCTAGAAGTTTCTATGAACATGCTATATGCAGTAGTTGTAATGAAAAAAGAGACATGAATGAAATGTTACTTTTTGAATGATTATCTACATTAGGGGTGTCAATTTCGGGTCACGGGTCGGATTT